TGTGTGTGCATTTTGGGGGGGATTTCCAGAGTCCTCAAAACAAAGGCTAAGAACCTGTGCCCTGAAAGTTGCAGGACCCGACGGGGATGTAGTGGGTAAAAATACCTCTTTGGCCAAACCAACCAGGTTGATGCAAATTCTGGAGTATACGCAATTCCTTACAAACGATGAGTTCACGCCTAACAACGGTTAATCACAACAGACAAAGACCTCAAATTACAAAGCTATTCACAAAGAACACAGATTACCTGATTCTTGTTGGACTTTTGAGTAGGAGTGAGTCAGCAGGAGTGTCTAAGGGGGCAGGAAAGAACGTTGCTAGAATGAATATCAACCCTATAGTTGGGCTGAGCCCCTTGGTCATGACCTTGAGGCTCAAGGAATTGGCTCAGACAGTTCTGAACTGAGTAGCCATTTCACAGGCAGCCCACAGCCCAGCAGGACACCACTCTCTAACTCTGCCATCATGACACTGCCGTCTGCAGCAAGCGAGCTGAGATGTCTCAAGACCAAATTTATCACACCCAAGATGCCATCCTTACGTAAGAATCACCTGTCGCTGGTGCATAAATTTTAGCACCTAGCTGAGCCAAGGGTAATCAAGATTTAAAAGAAAGGGGCCTGAATAAATATCAAGCAGATTTCCTCTCTGTGGGGCTGAGTTTTGAAAAATCTTTGTGCCCTCATATGCCCCTCAAAGGAGACTGTCATTTTTCTGCTTTCGGTCTGCCTCACTACTGTTGGGGAAAGGATGCTCACTACTGTTGGGGAAAGGATGCTCCCTAAGAGCCACAGGCAATCTATTTTCTTGGAGGTTCTGCTCAAGCTATGACCTCGGTTTGTTCCAACTTATGTCTGTCCTCACAAGTTTCAGCTTGCTCTCAAGCTAAATTAAGCATAAAGCAAAGCCTTGACTCGCACTACTGAAGCTTGAGGGTAATCATTACAAGCCCGGAGCTATGCATCACTGTTTCCAAGGCTGCAGGCCTAAGAAGAAATGCAGGAATGGCCTTTCAATTTATATTCCACTTCGGGTAATCGAGAAGATTCCTTTAGCTTGAGACCTTGGAGGCGAGGTTCAAGTGTGTTGTCTGAGAGCAAACAAGATGCCATTGGAAAGTGACAGAAGGCGGTGGAGTTGTTTAAGGAGCAGCGGCATTGGGATAATAGTGGATGGGAGGGCAAGGAAGAGGGAGGAGGGAGTCTCCTGGACTAAAAAGGGGCCAAGAAAAGTCCCTACAGCTGTTTGGTGAAATTTGGAAAAATTAAATTCAGGTTAACAAATATCTGGGAAGGTCTGAATCTGACCTGGGGCACATTGTTCCCTCCTCTGGGTTTCCATTTGTAAAATGTAGGAATAGGATGAAGGCTTCTTCCTGCACGAGCATGTCGTGATGGAAGGTAGAAGAAAAGGCCTTTGAAGCCAACAGAATCACTCCTCTGTCCAGGGAAGTATAAACAACAATAACTCCATCAGCCTTCAGCTCTGCTTTTGAATGAGTTCTTTGCTTCTGTCTGAGAGGCAAAGTAGTTCATTCCTTGGGAAAACTTTGAACGTGGAATGGTAGACCATGCCCTTTTCACTCCGGTTTCTTATGTTATTTTGAATTATTAGTACACAGAACACCCAATATAAGTTAACAAGATTTTACTGAGCATCTGTCACGTACCCAAGGCTGCAGTAGGTCCTCTGGGGTAGATAAAGAAAAACTCTGTGACACGTTCAGGGTCTTCAAGTATCTTAATATCTTTTTAGAGGTTTACATGTTCCATTTTAAAAGCCAAGCAGAAAACAAGCTGTTATATTTTAGAAGTCTAACTTTTAAGATAAATATTACTTTTCTCTATTAATGTAAGCAACTGAGTTTGACTGAACTTGTTTTTATGCTTCTACTAATATATATCACTGTGTTTACTAATACATATTATTGTATTATTTATATTGTTATTCATGTCTACAAAAAGCCTCACTTACAGACTTTACACTGGCTTGAATTCTGGTTGGATGCCTCTAGGTAAAACACAAATAAAAGTCCATCAAAAAAACTCTGAATTTCCAAACAAATGCATACTTGTACATTTTGAAGTCCCACTCAAGTGCATTCTCTATATGATATGAAAGAAAACTAAATGAATCATCTTGGGGAAACTACTCTAATTCCTGAGTGTGTACTTCAGTTAATATTTCTGCACATCTTGGGACTTCCCTGGTGGTCCAGTGGAGAATCCACCTTCCAATGCAGGGGACATGGGTTTGATCCCTGGTTATGGAACTAAGATCCCACATGCTGCGGGGCAACTAAGCCTGCGTGCCACAACTACTGAGCTCGCGCGCCTCAACTAGAGCCCATGTGCCACAGGCTAAAGAGCCCATGCTCTCTGGAGCCTGTGCACCACAACTAGAGAAGAGAAAAGCCCGCATGCCACAACTAGAGAGAAGCCCGCACACCACAACAAAGAGCCCGCGCAACAAAAGATCCCACGTGCCTCAGCAAAGATCCCACTTGCCGCAACTAAGACCCAATGCAGCCAAAAAAAAAAAAAATTTTTTTTTTTTGCACATCTTTTAAACACTGATGCTGCTGCCTCAAGTTACTTCCCAGTAATAGACTATTATCCTTTGGTGTGTACTTCTTTTGCAAATACCAAATAGATGGTCAGTTACATTATCTTCCCCAGACTATCTTGTTTTCCTTTGAAGCTTTCGAAGACAAATCACTAATCCATTTATTGTAAATGGTAATCCTTTCAAAAATATGCCTTGGGTGCAAAACTGAACTTTCCAGGCAGTAAAGATGTTTCAAAGGAGATTTTTCCAATGCAAATTATCTTTGTAGTGATGTGAAAGTAATTGTCCTGTTTTATATGAATACGCCTTTGTATACTTTCAATTACATGTATTTAAACATTTAAGAATGATGTAAAACATGATATATACATTAGTGGAATTTGCCAGTCACATCATATATTTCTAAGCAGTTTATAAAATATATACCAAGAATTAAAGTATGATATTCCTTTTTTTTGCGGTACGCGGGCCTCTCGCTGTTGTGGCCTCTTCCCATTGCGGAGCACAGGCTCCGGACGCGCAGGCTCAGTGGCCATGGCTCACGGGCCCAGCCGCTCCGCGGCACGTGGGATCCTCCCGGACCGGGGCACGAACCCGTGTCCCCTGCATCGGCAGGCAGACTCTCAACCACTGCGCCACCGGGGAAGCCCAAAAGTATGATATTCTTTCTTAAGAAACGATATACTGTATTACCATGTTTTTCTTCCAATAACCCACAGCACTATTCTGGGAACTTAGGTGTTCAGATCTGGGTTGCCTATACTGTTCAGCCCGTGAAATTTCAAAGCACATTCATATCCACTGCCCTTATGGTGACCCCAGTAAGATGAGAGGCAGATATTCAGGGTGACCCACCATCCCGGTCTCCCCAGGATTGAGGAGGTTCTGGGGATGCGGCACTTGCCGTGGGAAAGTCCCAGCAAATGGGGGACAGGTTGATCATCCTGTGGGTATTACAATTCCTCTTTGTAGGTGGGGAAACTGAGGCACAGAGAAGCAAAGTGCTCTGCCCAGTATACCCAGCAAACCTGAGGCAGACGTGGGACTCAGTCTTCTGTCTTCCAACAAGAGAACATTTGCAACTAGGCAGATCCCTGCTATTTCCTCTATACCTTACTTCTGCCTGGAACTGTAAGAAAACCAATGTCATCTTTTGTCTTTTTTGTGTGCTACCATTTCAAAAGTACTAGGATGAAATACAGTGGGTACTAGTGAATAGGACTCTTTGTCAAAATCCCGTATTATTTGGGAGGAACAGCATTGCAGCTTTGTGCTTTAAAGAGAATGACAGAGAGACTGAGAAGTTATGATGATCACAGCTCTTAAGAGCAGAGGAAGTACTAGTATAAGGTCTGTCTACCCCACCAACCACCTCTTACGACTGCCAACTATCTCCGGTCTTGACTGAGCCATTTGTGTAATTTCATGAAACAAATCAACTTAAATGAATCTCAGAAAAAATGACCCAGAGAGCCACCTTTTGAATCACAGCATGGTAACAGCTAACATTTCCTGAGGGCTTACTCTGTGCTAGGTGCAATGCTTAGAGCTTTACATGAATTCGGTCAATTCAGCCTCACAATAATTCCAAGAAGGAGCAACTAATATTCCCACTTTACAGATAAGAAAAATGAGGCTGAGAAAGGTCAAGTAATTCATCCAGTGTCACACAGCTGATAAAGGTTGGAACTTGGATCTAAACCCAGGCAGCGTGACCCTGGAACCAGTGCTTTTAGCCATCCACTGCATCACTTTTCATAAAAGCAGTTCAACAGCACAGTTCCCAACGTCCGATCACTCAGACAGCTTTTTGTTAGGGCAGACCTAAAGCTAGTGGACCACATATTCCTCAGATGCATAGTGGGTGTGTTGGTCTAAAAGCATGAGGCTTTCTGGTCATGGGTATTAAAGGATCTGAAGGAAGAGATTTTAATCTATTGATTAATTCCAGAGTGAGATAAATCGTCCTGCCAAGCTCCTGCTATTTATTCAGGACCTCTATTTCTCTTTTTGGAAAATGTAAATAATATGTCCTGGGCTTCTATGAGAAATGACTAGGTAAAATAATGGGCAAGCACTATGCAAACTGTAAAGTGCTGTACACAATTATCCCATATGTTAAGGAGTTTCCAAAATAGCAATTTCTTCCAATGCCCTTGCAAAAGCAAATGAGACACAGCTGCTAGAACACTCTGTAAAGAGAGAGAAATCCAGCTCTTTAAAACTTTCAAGGGGGAAAACACACACCATAAAATTACCCCGAAGATGAATTTTACAAGAAGCACGGAAGTGTCATCAAGTTTTTCCGTGGTTAATTCTAAAAGAGTGCTAGCGTCGCAAAGATCAAACAAGCAGTTCTTCCACAAAAACCTGGGGAAATATGCTGTTTAATGACACTTGCATAATAGTTAGAAATATAAATTATACTCACATGAGAAGCAGAACTGAAGAAGCCAAGTTTACTGGCTCTTCTGAGTCTTTTCCAAAGACAAGTCTGTTGGGGAAAAAAGAGGAGAGGCTTGGTCTAAACCAAACAAAAGGAAGACATAAAAAAAAAAAAAAAAAAAGGAAAGTTAGAAGGATGAGGTGTTCCTGGAATGCTATGAAGCACTGAGAGTGACTCAGCACTTGCCAAAGGGCAGCAACAATTAAACGAGTTTGTTGAAAGAACTCTAATAAAATCGGCATTCCCTGTAATCTCAGAACAAGATGGCACCACTAAAGAAAATGTTCAACAACACATTTGGGGACTATGAGTTGATGGAAGTTGCTTGGGGGTAGGGGGGACTCAGGGATGAGTCATAGACTCCTCAAATGAAGTGGACTAAAGCTGGAGGAAGCTGGGTTGGGTCTCTGCCCTCTCATTGTTTTTCTCCTCTCAAGGGATTGCAGCCCTTCTGCAATCAGCCAAAAGGAACAAGTGAGTTGGCCACTGGGCAATGAGAAATTGTCAAACAAGTGAAATGAAGGTTCATTCGTAGTATAAAGCCTATACACTGTATAAACAAGTCCTGAGACAGGGAGGAAGGAAGACTTTCCCAGGATCCTCTGTGCCCATGAGAATCATTCCTGCTGAATCCTGTCTCCAGGTAGAAGGGCACCTAGGTTATCCAAGATGGAGCCTACACAGATTTTTAAGTTCTTTGGGGAAAAAGAAAATCATGATTCCTCTTAGTAACTAATTTCTGTCTTTATCTACCCTTTTAGCCATTAAGTTCTGTGCTAAAACTAGCTTCAATTTCTCTAAACTGGTCTTTGTGGACATGGATGAATGATTTTGGTTTTGCCCACCGAAAAGTATGCATCCTTCATATATTTGCACGTAGTTATTCTCATACTAAACTCATGATGGAAACCCAGGAAATTCTCCTGTCCCTTCTCAGATGAGAACTTCCCATCACCCCACCTCAGGTTATAGAAAGGAAAACAATTTTTTTTTGATGTCCTGGCATCATTTTTCCTATTTCAGGTGGCTATAGACTGAGTGGAGAGTTTACACCTTCCTATCTTAAGAAAAAACAAAAAAACTGAGAAGGTTAAGAGCTGGTGATTTGACATTTCCACATTAACTTTTTTTCAAAATGCTGGTGTTTTCTTTTTTTGTTTTGGATTAAACTCAGGTGTAAAATATTATATCGCACATATTCGTTATTGAGGGAATTGACTGAATTTACGTAATGTTCACGAACAGAATTTTGTAAGTTGTTCTGCCAGCCAAACTATTCCTGCTTCCTGCACAAATGGAGCTGCTTGCTCAGTGTTAATCAACTGATTACCATGAATGAAGAATTCTCCAGAAGGTTGTTAAAACCAAGATACCACCATTTGGTTCCCCTTGAAAAAAGGAAATTATTGTTCTACTGGATTTTCTTTTGTTCTGAATAGAAATGTTTTTAAGTTGGGTTGGATATTCTTTTTTTTTTTTAATGCTTTTTTTTAACATCTTTATTTGAGTATAGTTGCTTTACAGTGTTGTGTTAGTTTCTGCTGTATAACAAAGTGAATCAGCTATATGTATACATACATTCCCATATCTCCTCCCTCTTGCGTCTCCCTCCCACCCCTCTAGGTGGTCACAAAGCACCGAGCTGATCTCCCTGTGCTAGGCAACTGCTTCCCACTAGCTATCTACTTTACATTTGGTAGAGTGTATGTGTCCATGCCACTCTCTCATTTCGTCCCAGCTTACCCTTCCCCCTCCCCGTGTCCTCAAGTCCATTCTCTACGTCTGGGTCTTTATTCCTGTCCTGCCCCCAGGTTCTTCAGAACCATTTTTTTTTTTTTTTTTTTTAGATTCCATATATATGTGTTAGCATACGGTATTTGTTTTTCTCTTTCTGACTTACTTCACTCTGTATGACAGACTGTGGGACTAGATATCAATTACTGGGTTGGATATTCTTTTTGGGTTTTTTGTTCTTTCCATTTCAGCATTCCTCTAGGAAGAGAGAGCAAATGTTCTCTTTCTCATCAACCAGAGTGTTACTAGTTTGAGTATGAAATGCAACCAGGTTCCAAGGAAACTATGTTGTAGTTTTCGGGAATGGGAAGAGTTTTTTCCCTCAGGGGACAGAAGATGAGATTTTCCTTTTGTCTTCAACCTTTTCATACCAAAGTGTGAACCATTTCTACATACGTGTTTGGAAGCATGAACTGAATGCCATGAAAGATAGCAAAGTAAGCTGACTCCTTGATTCTGACCAAGCCAGCAACAGGCATTTGGATTTGAGTTGGATTTAGATGAGCTATTCAATAACCTGTATAGTAAGACTGGGAGCTTAGGAATCAAATCACATTGTGATCTTGTTAAGGATATTGCTCTTTTGTGAGCAGCTCAGTTGATGGGGTCAGTCTTTTAATTTACTTAAAATTTTGCAGAGAGTTTTCCTGTTGTAGCACTTGAACGTTTCTCCCCAATTCAAATTCCTTCATCCATACAATTGGGTTAATACAACTTACTGTGCAGGTCTTTCGTAAGGACCACATAAAATGTATACATTAGATGCTTACTATAGGCCCTGGCACATAAAAGCTGAATGATCGTTTCGTGTTCACTTGGCCCCTATACGGTTCTACTGCTAAAGGCTGGTTCTCAATAAAGCAATGTTGGGCTGTAATAACTTTCTGCCACCCTCCCCCTGACACCCCCCAAAAGAAGAAAAACCACAGCTAACTAAGAACAGTCCCCTAATTTTGACAAATTTTGACAATTTTGTTGTGTCTTTCCAATGGAACCCCATCACCTTATACCTACTATAATAATTTACTGGACACTTACATGAGCCATCTACTGTAACAAGAACTTTATATGGGCAATATCATTTCACTTTCCCCACAGCCCTATGAGTTCAATACTATGGTTATTTTCTTCTGCTTCAAACTCACTTGTTCCCCAATATGAAGAACCCCAATGAGTATTTTCTAACCATCCATCTTACATAAGTATTTTTTATTATCACTGCAAAACATTACGGAATGTCTTCTGAATTATGTTTTTCAAATTTTGTTCAAGCAAAGCACTAAGATACAAAGCATTGATACTGTATACACTAAGATACAGTTTCAATCCTCCAGAAAGTGACATATTTTTTTACCCCAGAGAGGAAACTATTTAAAGGGCCCATTATCTCTCTTTTTTTTAATCATATAGGTGCTTCCTATCTCTGATTAAGTTTATGACCTCATCATAAATAAGAATGGCTATAACTCCTATTAATATCTGCTTAAGAACTGCAGCCAATAGCTACAAAATGTCAAATTGACCCCACTACCAAGACGGTAGTGATCACCCATACTGTTGAAATGGAGAGCAAGAGATCACTGTAGAAGAGTTCTCATGGAGACGTTCTACCCACATTCACCATCTGAAAAAATGTCATACGTAGACATTCATGCACATTGAATTGGCAAATAAAAATTTCAAATAAATGTGAAGGCCAGTAGAGCAACAAAGACTGCCTATGCTTGATACAGAGACATTCGTCAGGAAGAGTCCCTACTTGAAAAGATATTACATCTCTGTTCAAAAACCTCAGTCAATTCAGTTCATTTAGAAAAGCTCCTAAAATGAAACATTTATTGCATACTTTTCATATTGTGTTTGGCTTTGTTTTGTTTTCTGAGTAAATATTTGAAGAGGCATATATGTGGGCTGTATTTTCTTTTGAATCATTTTTGATATTTTACGAGATAATGCTGGCTCTTTCCTCATGGAAAAAACTGAAACAATCAAAAGGGATTTTACACATGGTCTCGACAACTACGCCTATTGCCCCACCAGCATTACTCCCCCCCAAACATGCCTGTTACTATAGATAAAAATCCCTGATTTCTGGGATGCCGAATATTCCACCTGGATTCTAGATACTATCACTATTTGCAGGCCCAATGAAATTGCTTAAGGAATCCTTCCTGTCTTTCCTAAAACACTAATCTGTCTCTCTCTACTGGATCACTTCCATCATCGCACAACCATATCATTATTTCTCCCAACCCCAAACAAGCACAAACACCACCACTTCCACCAACACACCCTTAGCGGGACCCCACTTTCCTCACCTGTTTCCCTCCCATTTCTGTGCTTTCGTTGGCAGGAACTTCAAGAGTTGTCTTTCCTCACCATTTCCAAGTCTTCTTCTATCACCCTCTTACACTATTTAGGGCAGACCTTAACCATCGCCATGCCACCAAATATGTTCTTGTCAAGGTTACTGATGTTCTCTAGTTGTGAAATTCAATAGTAAATTTTCAGTTTTCATCTTACTTGACCCAGGAGCAGCATCTGACACTATTTTTCACTCCCCTCTAACCGGTACATTTCCTTCTCTTGGTTTTTAGGACACCAAACCCTCCCAGTTTTTCTCCTTGGATGGTCACTCCTCCTCAATCTCTCCTTGGTGGTGTCTCTTTTCCTTCTTGACCTCTTAGTGCTACAGAATCCCAGGGTTGAGTCCTTTTCTTCTCCTCTGCTTTATCTACACCCACTCCCTTGATCGTCCATTCAGCCTCAAAACTTTCAATACTGACAAGCTGTTGACTCCACGTTTAGCCCAAACATACTCCGCATACTCTCATAAGCCCCATACGTGCACGACCAGCAACCAACTCTACATCTCCCATCAGGTGTCTAATAGTCATTTCAAACTCAGTATATCCAAAATCAAAATCCCAACATTCTCCACAAACTTGCTCTTCCTACAGCCTTTTACACCTCAACTGATAGCAATTTCATCTTTGCAGCTTCTCAGGCCAACACCTGGATTCCTTTAACATTCTACATCCAGTCTCTCATGAAATCCTGTTGCACTTTACTTTCAAAATATAGAGAATTTAACTGCTTTTCACCACCTGTACTTGATCAGTCAACACATGGCCCAAGCCACATCATCTCTTGCTTGGGTTACTGGCATAACCTTGTAACTAGCCTCTTAGCTCCTATCCTTGCCCTACTCAGTATTCTCTAAACACAACATTCGAACAGGTCCTTCTTAAAGA